AGAGGAAGGGTGAAAGCAAAATGCCGTGGTTGAGTCTAGGAAGAAATTTAATAATGAGGAACTAAAGGAAGCAGATTGAATGCCTTACTGAATTCAGTGTGGCTTTGGGGTTTTTTTTTAAATAAATGAGGCTTAAATAGGAAACCTGCCACAGAAGTAGATCTACTTCTGTAGTTTTTTTCTTCTGAAAGCTGAACCAAACACAGTTAATATACATTATCTTTTGAATGCAGCACAGTGTATTTTTTGATTGTACAATACTGCTTGAAAACAGGTCATCTGAATAATAGTCTCAAATATATAAATACACATATATACATATATACACACATACATACGCAGATATGTGTATATATACACACATATACAATCACTAAGTTAATGTTTTGTTCTAGTAAAGGAAAAGGATTTAGAAAACAATCTGACTAGCAGATTAAAACTCCTATCCAAGGAATATACGTCACTACAGTCCAAAGAGTCAGCACCAGCTAGGTCAATTCCTCATACCAACAGGGCCACAGACTGGAGAAAAAAATATAACTCCATGTATTTCATTTCACATTTCAAGTAAGTACACCACAAACTAAGAATTATGCCCATTTCACCAATGGATTTATCTTAAGGACAGTAAATTCTGCCATAAAAATATTTCTCCTCTCCAATAGTTTATTTTTGGATATTAATTTCCAGCTGTTTACATTCACCCCTACATCAGTTATCTCCAGTTGAAACCTACCTGAAGTAAAAGTGAGCACTGTGCTTCCAGATAAGACATAGTAAGTCAGCAGCTCTCAAACTGGTGAAATCCTGATTCTTCACCAGTGTCTTTGTATAATATAAGGCAGATTCTACATGAGTTGAAATCACTGAAGGTATAATAGCTTCAGCAGGTCTACACTAGTTTACACCAGATCTCTACATAGATTTATGGAGAAAGCTCCTTTTTTATTGCTTAGAATTATTTATACATGGAATGTTTCTTTCTTTCCTGAAAGCCTTTCCTTCACTATAAAGGGCCATTGCTCTCTGTTCATTTTATTTAATCTTGTCTTGAAATGAAAAACTGACCTATTTTTCTACCAGCTATGTGGTGATGTAGGTTTAAAGAAGACCAAAACAACCAACAACAACAAAACTCAAAGAACGTGTCAAGTGTTTCCACATCTTTCCCACTTATTTTTACATATACATATATATTACTATTTTTTTCCTTTTGACTGCACTTGGAACTCTTTAGAGCATGCTTCTGTAACCTCATCTAAAATTTCGTCAGGTGGTAGTGTATTTATTCGACATTTAATCAGTGCCTTGGCTTCATCCATAATTCAAAAATAAGAACAAAAATCCTCTTTTCTAAGAAAAGGATTTAGCATCTTTGAGGCTATTTATAAAACACTTTGAGATGTTTTTGCATAAAAAGGTCCTACTATATGTTAATTGCATTTAAAGTGGTTTACTATTGTACTCAAAATAGAAAAGAACATTTTGTATTCTTAATATTTTGCACATAAAAATTAAATACATTTTGTAATTAACAAAACTACTCCATGTAAAGGGATTTGAAAATACTAGATGCTATAGATTTTACAGCAGCTCTTCAACCAAGCAGGAATACCTGCTACCAAAAAAACAATTTTTAAAGGATCTGAAAAAATGGTGCAGACATGCAGATGTCATGACACAACTATTTTTCCATGACAGAAGAAAAATACTACATCATTTTGAAAAATACATTAATACGTTCCAAATATAATAATGAGAAAATTATGCCATTGTTCTGGTTGAACACAGATAAAAATGCACAAAATAACTTGATCTGCTTTAAACTGCACAGAAGACTGGTCACTTTTGAAGTGAGAAACAAGCACAAGAGTAACAAAGCTTAAATAATTCAGCAGAGCCATTCACATACATTCATGTATTATGAATGAATGCTCAGTTATAGATTATTCCTTACACAAACAGCTTTGTGCTAATATATTTAATGCCTTTAAAAAAAAATAACAGCTCAAATGGGAACAGCGTATACCTTGTCAGAATGATGGTTTTAATTTGACTGCTTTGGTCATGGCACTTAAGCCACAGCAGTTATAACTTTGCATTTGTTCCTCTGTAGCCATAATTTACAATTTAAAGTTAAAGTTTTGGATGTTGTTAAGGGGGCTTGTCTGTGGAGAATGGAATAAAACAGTGTGGTTCAACCTAGAAGCAACTTGTCCAGCTCCTGATCTCCTTTAATATTGGTGGTACATACTTTTCCTACAAAATAACACACAGATCCATACATTTGAGTGCCAAGACATTCAGACTCAAAACAATTCCAACAGAGCAATTGATTATGACAACCTGAAATGGGTTTCATTAGGGTAAATAAAATATCCCATGCTATATAAACTTAAATGGCTGACAGCAAACATGAGGCTAACATCCAAATAAATAGCTCTCAATGCTAACTTCAAATTGTTTATGCCCAAATGCATTTCATCTGGGAGAGGCTGAAATCATTCAAGCAGCTTCAAATACTCAATACCACCATAACAATAACAGAGCTCAGAAATTGCTGCTAATAATTTCTCCAGTCACTCACCTGCAATAGGTCTTCTGCTAGGCTCAGAGTTAAGTTTGCAGGAGCTTGGAAAACTGAATGCACTACACGGTTACAGTCACACCATTACATTATTTTCAGAATAGTCTATCTTATCTGGGGGGTCCTTTAAGGCAACTTTTCCCCTTACATTCAACAACCTGAACATGGGGAAAAGTGTTTTTAGGATGTGGTAAGATGACCCACAATTGCACTTGTGACTCTTTTAGAAGATACCCACTTTCAGGAGATGACCATGAGAGGAAGTTAGCCATGGAGAATTCTTTTTGCTTACCTGAATTGTTCCCCCATCCCTCACCAAGGTGTATACAAGGCGACACACACTAGTTCGGGAAACCCAGGAGAAGACTTGATGGTACTCACCAACGTGAATCAGAATGTGCTAAAGCTGCCCATAAGTAAAGATAAATACAACTGACAGTAGCCATAACTTAAAATCTCTTAGGAATTGCAGAAGAGCTTGTGCATCAGATAAAAGTAATACCAAAGTTAATCTGGACACATGGAGCACCCAAGGAAGGTTCAGAACTGATATGTATGAAGTCAGTTGTAGAGTTAGTACTCTACAGTGCCATGTCCTGATAATTACTAACACTAGTGTAAAGCTTTAAGTATAAAGGCCATGGTAGATTTTGGAATTGTGCAGGCAAGGGCAAAATCCAGCCCACTAAGATGTATGACATTCTTCTTACTGAAGAATGATAGATAGTGAGTACTCGTGTGCTTGACATTAAAAGCAGAGGTTATTTTAATGATACCTTGTTAAGTCCTAAATGAGATTGGTTTTTTTCCCCCATAGTGTCGCAGAAAGATTAAAGTGGGAATGGTTGTTCAGTGGATACTCTGTCTGGAAATCCTATTATAAAAAAGGAGCACTTTAAATCTGCCCTTGTGTTTCTAACAAAACTGGACTTGAACCTGAGCTCTTTAGCTTGACATGATTTAAAAAAGAGAATGCAGTTATATTGAGAAGTAAGACTCTTCAATGTTCTTATGAAAAGTTGATTGCAGAAGTTAAATATTTTCCTTCCTTTGAGGGGTGAGAAAAGGAAAGATAGCAATGATTTTAATTATCTACTTGATAGTCAATCACTACCTCTGAATTTGTCATATTTCATCCAAGGATGTTACAGTAAAAATTTTAAGGAGGTCATGTGCCTCTATGTATAAAAATACTAAACAGGAATGGAAGTTCACAAAGGACTTAATATTGTAAGACCAGCAATGCAGAATGCAAATAATGTCAGTTAATGCAACTTGAGATATGGGGGCTTATACTTCATACTGAGTTCATATAAAGCAGGCTCCACTTTATGACAATTATCCTTGAAGACTGTGGCATATATAAATCTTCTGCAAAAATTAGATCTAAGTTCAAAATGTCCTTTGTTCTAATAACCTTAATAGCAAAAATACAAGTTCCCAGAAAGGTTACTAGAATCTGTTGCTTTTCTCAAACCACATACTGCATTTTAGTAACGAACTACTGCACTAACAGTGACAGGACACTGAAGAAAAGGGACTACTCTTTCAAGCACAACTGGGACGTATTTGTCCATGCATGCCACTTAAATTGCTGCTATTTTTAATACTTAAAAAGATCATTGCCAGTTATTAAAACAAATCACTGAACAGTATTTTTAAATTTAGGAGTGTGTTTAATTTCAAATAGAAAACATGCTTTTTAAATAAATTATTCACCAATAGGAACCCAGTATCACGAAATCGAAGCAAAAATCAAATCCTGAACATTTTCAATACTGTACATATATTATATATTGTTTTCTCATATTTTAGGTATTCATTTCTAGATTGAAAATCATTAGACTGTTTCCTTGATAAATTGAAACTTTAAAAGCCAATATACTTGTGAAAACAATTTGCAGTGCTTTGATTAAAAAGAGACAAGTGAATACAACATATGTACAGAGCCATGGAATTCAATCTATAAACTACATACATTAAACCAAACTGTCCCTGCATATTTAGCTACAGATCTATTTTGGCAATGTGGAGGTATATCTTTTATCCTGTTGCAAGTCCTAACATGTAAGTAGGAAGCTTCGATATTTGCATTCTTACTGAAAGTCGCAAACATTAACCAAAGAGCAACTGGATTTTGAAAAAAAATAATAAAATTGCATCACGACAAAATAGTAGTACAGTAAAGTTAGTAAGTATGTTTATAGCATTCACATTTTTTTAAAAGTCTCTGAAATGGACCTGTACATCGCTTTCATTGGCAGAACATAAATATAAGAAAAAGATCCCTAAAAAGACCAGAATTTTTCCCAAACATAAAGTGCTAAGATGTGTATGGTAGTAGGAAGTTTCTTTTTCTTTTTTTTTTTATTTTTATTTTTTTTTGACTGAGCAAGGACAGGCTAACACAAAGGTTAACCACAAATTCAGTTGAAATATTTTAAAAATGCCCTGTGTTCTTGAGCTTCATCATTCAGATGTTTTAGAAGATTCAGGTTGCTCTTCTAAATTCACCGGCACTTCATTTTGACATTCTGGTGTCTCACCTTTGACAGCTAAATGGATAACTTTTAGCCATTTCTGTTTTAGTTCCTCATTGTCCGCAGCAAAGCTGTGCACAGACTTAGACTGGGTCAGTTTGAAGCTATGTGGGAGGTCAGCACTTCTTGGAGTGTCATCTACTGTATAGCCCAGAAGTGGAATTGTAGCCAGAGCCTTAACATCCTAGGAAGAAGGACAAGTTTCTGATTAAGAACAGCCAACTAATCTGCTGGCTACCTCTCTTTTACTATGCAGGTTGGTAAAAACACTTGGGTCTTTCCTCCATTCCCAAGCTGTTTGCCTTTTCTTCCTCAGACATCAGTGACAATATTTACCAAAATCTTTTCCATTTTCTCTGCACATACCTGTGGAGCACCATACATGTACAGCACAAGAGCTTCTTGTTTAGGTATAACACACCATGCTTTCTGCCAGGGCTTTGATTTTTCCATGTACTGAAGAAAGCTACATATGACGCTATTTCCAGAGACTTCTGCAGATTCAATCTAGGAGATAGTAAAAAGCATAAAAAGGAAAAGAAACTTTACTTAAATAAAGATTAAAATAACACAGAACAGAAATGCAGGAATACATCACCATTCATATAAAATCTTGCAGAGCATCTTCAGAAGAGCTTGAGCAAACACCCAACTAAGATAATGAAGGACTGAATTTATGGAGACAATATGTGTGATACAAACATACAAGCACAACATGTGCAATGTGTTCCTTATTTTTAAATCTCACTTTGCCACTACAACTGGTCTTGTATCTTAGTATCTACAGCAATGTCTGATTTTTAAAATAACATCATGTTAGGCATTCAGATGCTACTAACTATCCAGTATGACAACTAATCTGTTTTGGCAGCCAAAATATTATGGCAGGATCAGATGCAAACACATTTCTAAGAATAACATAAAAATGCAATCATGAATCCTAGAGAAAAGATTAGATGCTTGAAATCTGAAGACAGTGACATGCTATTTGGGTTAAATAGTGATCTTGAGAAGAGCAGAAAGAACACAAAATAATTATGTGTTAAAATTTCCTTGCATCATTTTTTTTCCTCTCCTAGTAGTGATGATGTCTGGATGCTGCAATATGGTAGCCAACCATGGACATTTCTAAGGGATTCTGTAACACTTTCAGCTACCTTGCAAAAGCCACCATGCTAAGAAACAGCAGTCTCTTGACTATAAGGCAAGCTAGTGAATCCTGTGCTCCCCACTCCCTCTCATTTAAGAAAATGTAGTGAAGTGTAGTCAAGCTAACATGGATTATGAACTGTAAATGGAATTTTTTTTTTTAATCTTATTTTTTCCTTTTTTTTTCTATTGGTATTCAGCTCAAGGGTTGATCCTTCACAACTACATCCCAAGATAAATATATGTCTTGAAAAAGTTAGGAGGACAGTCTCCTACTTTACGTCAGGCATTTAAAAAGGGCCTATTAAAGGGGATTTAAGAAACGTGAAGTTAATTGCAATTGTAAGATTCCTATTTCTCCCCCTTTTCATAAGATAAACATGGGTCTTTACTGTCTGATTGAGACCTTGAATTTTTAGATGTCAAAAGCTGAGAGCAACTTGATGAATTTTAAGTATAGTTTTATACACTGATCAAAACAGTATCTTACTACTCAGACTCTGAATAGCAAATTTTTCCCTTGTTTTCCTCCATCCCAAGTTCTTCCAGTTTGGGTGTATGTTTTCAAGAATCATTGTAGTAGCAGTGGGTTTTGTTGCTACAACAGCTGAAGTGCAGAAGAAGAAAAATGATGATTTATCAAGAAAAGTAATGTTTTGTCACGTTAGCTGATGTAACTGTAAAAAAGCGAACAAGCTCTAAGGTTTGTAGTTCCCAATTTAAAACAAGTTGAATGAAACCAAGTAACATTGTTAAAGATGAATAGTGAAAACCAAAATCCATTGGCTGGAATAGATTCAGTCCATGAATCTTTTATTTCTCAAAGAGAAAACAGCCCCACAACAGTACTACTGTGTTTCACCCACCAATGAGCGAAAACTCTTTGAAACTGTGCACATACGGTGTTTTAAAAATACATACCTCCAAGATGCCTTTCCTCTTCTTTTCTTCACTGTCTGTACAACCTATTATAACATGGTAGCAGTCCTTACAGACTTTGTTCAATTTATTGCCATCATATTCGAGATGTGCCTTGTAGTCAGAACATTTCCAGCAAACCACCTTAGAAACAAGAAAGATAACATACATATAAAATGTGAGTATTTCTAACATTTTATAATAACAATTTAATCTAAAAGAGTGTTTATCTAATCAGTAATATATAGTTGAATTATGCATAACATGAAACACAATAGCTTTATGACATGCCTTCAATACCACGTAGAAAGAAATCATACAAGATAACCTGTAAAACAAAAATTAAAGCTGGGCTTGCACTGCCACCTGCTGGAGAAAGGCAGAGCTGCTGGACGGCAAGAAAAAGCATACAATGTTTGCTCATCTTTTACTACTTTCTGAAAACTCTGAAGTCACACCATTGTCTCATAGTCACTTTAAAGTGCCATAAGTTACTGGAGTGCCTATACATGGAAAGCAGAGATAATACTGTCTCATCTTTGTAACCTTCTCTCCTTCCCTGATGCTTTCCACATATTTACACAGTTACACACTGAACTCAGGTGGGAACTGCTCCTAGGTAACCAAAAGAAAGGTTTTAACTGCAGGGCTTCATGGTCTTGCAAAGAGGAGAGAGAAGGTAGCAGAATGGGAAGAGGAGGCAGCCCGTGCTGCCCAGGATAACATTGGCTTGTGCCAGTTTCACATGGTCTTGACACTTGAGATCAGTGGAGGCCACTCAGGAGTAACAGTAGAGTATGTCCAGGGGCTTGGGACATTTTACACAAAAGCACATCTTGCACTGCTCTAAATTACTTCCAAATTTACCATGCCAACTAAAGCTGACACAGGACCCTTTGTGTTAGGGTATGCATAAACAAGCAGCCACCAGAAGTCTTTTAGGTGCTTAGACCCATTCCCCAGGCCTGCTCACCAGCTACACCAGCGAAGGGTTTGCACTTACATGCCCACATGCTCGGCAGTGGTGCCTTCTCCTTGTCAGTGCGTTAAAGGGCTCCTTGCATTTCATGCACATGGTTACTTCGTTGTCTCGTATCCACCTCGGTGCTCTCTTCCCAAGCTCAGCATTCTGAAGGGCAGCAGAGAGATGGGAGAATAAAAAAAGCCAGTGTAAAAAGTTTCACAGTACTTGAAATAGAGAAAATAATTATTCTCTTCCTCTAGAAAGGAAATGGCAAAGCACAGCTCAAGATGCATTTTGAGATCTATACAAGAAATAACAAAGAATCCAGTCAAAAAGCGTCATGCATCACTGAAAGGGTGCTCTGTTAGGCATTTCAAGAAAAAAAGAGGTTTGTTTATAAGAGCTGGCATTATGAAGAAAAACAATTACCAACAAGATGACTACTTTGTAATCCCTCTGCTATAAGAATGATGAGCTTTGTGATCCTTTTGCTGTAAGAACTATGACTTTGAAAACCAAGTTTCTTGGAAACTTTTTCTAGTTATTGAAGAACAGGGTAGGTACTAAGAAGGTTACAAAGGAGTAACAGCAACTTACAGAAACTTCAACAGGCATGTCTTCATATTCTTTAGCAATAGCATTTCTGAAAGTTTCATTCCTCTGCTGAAAAGCTTCTATAGTATTCTGAAGTGCCTAAGGAAACAATGGAGAAATTCCTCAAATATATTAGATTTGAAATGGACTCG